CTATGATAATTTAATTGGTTGGTTAGGATTTTCATCTTTAAAATGAGTACAGAACTGTACCTAACATGCTTAATGTGAATTACGTTTACTAAATTGCAGTTTTCACCGATAATAAAACAAACTATGTCAAGTACAACCAACCTTGATTGTACAAGACGCTATAGATGGAAGTTAAAAAATGAACTGGTTGCAGCACTTAATTTTTGCTAACGTTAGTCGCGTTCTTCTTGGACCAGTGACTGGGTACACATTTGGCATAGGAGCTTTTTACGCCGTCCAAAAATTAGTTGAATGGATATAAATTTACAACTTGTTTTGTACATTAATAACATTTATGTTAATTTATACCTACACAAAACATTTGATTTTTTTGTTTCAGATCAACGTCTGAGAATAGCAGCTTCAGACATCACGTTGATCATGTATTATTGTACAGTTGTCACAATCGCACGTTCAGGATTTCAAGATTAAATCACACAAGTATTTACCCAAGAAGTAAGCTTTAGTAGAAGTTGCCGTGCCTCCGGGCTACCGAAAATTGCACCAAATCCACCAAATAATTCCTCTTTCCCAAGAGAAATCAAGAGAGTTGTGCACTCAGTTATTAGATCACTACCCTGGGACATTTGCGCGTTGCCCTTCACGCAACTAGTCAAATACCTGGGATGAACAACTCACTGGATCCAATCATACACTCTGTGTTAACTACAGATTTAGTGATTTAAATGATTGTTTGCAATACAGATTATCAACGGCGGACTGAGGAGCTACAATCGCAGACAAGAGAAAAGTATTTGTCCCCTTGCCTAGCATAACCAAGCAGAGCAAGAATCTTTGTTTATGATCGGGACATTCAATACCAACGTAGTCCACAAACCTATTTGTCCACTAAAAAATTGTGCTGTAATGCATACTGAAAACGACTGGTAAACCTTGAGGTGATAATTGCCTCAGTAAAATTTGCCTGGTTATGATTTGTCCAAGTAATTGTTAGACTTGGATGGGAACTTTCCTAGGAACTGGATGTAAACCAACTGCTTGACGTTTACTATCCTGGTAATCCATTGATGTAGAATGATAATATGATCGGTCCCGATGAAAATAGCCTTGCTTCTCGTGACATTACCTTACCCTGAATCTATCTCCCATATGTTTACGACATCACAAATGACTTTTTTGGTTCATGTCTTTATTATGCATTACTAAGCATGTAAAGAGAGAATTTCATTGGATGTAGGTTTTTAGAACAGATAAAAAGATTATTTATAAGGCGTACGATTGAATCATAACTATATTTTGTTTTTTTTCCTGTACAAACCGCAGAAAAGGAATTTTTCTGCACAAACCACAGAGAAGTAATTTAATAATTTATGCTTAGGCTACAACTGTTGAGGAATTACCGCCCTAAGTGTTTATAAATTGGGATGATAAGAGTTTATGGTGGCGTTTCTCCGATGCCTCTTCAAATTGAGGACGAAACGTCTGGCAACAGTGTTATTAGTGACGACGCGATACACTACCATGAACTCTCATGACACTACTTGTGCGAAATTCTACGCAAGATTATGTTGATAGCCTCTTAATGACTTGCATTTCATTTTAAGAAGGGTAAATTAGAAAGGTTTAAGATGTTTATGTACATCAAAATATTTAGATTCATGTCTACTAATTTCCTAGTGCGGCTGTATGGCTAAAAAGCCAATCAAATCTGAAGATGCCGAGGTGACTATTCTGGCCTATTATGATGTTATCTTGCTGATACAAGACCAGGACTTGGACCGTGTGATGTGCCTGACATAGGTGAATATTCCCGTTAGTACGTCGACCTTGCTGTCCTGGACCCGGACCAAGATCAACTGGAAATTTCCACAGTCCCGCCTAGCAACAGTCAAGGCCGCCTCCTTGCGAAAATGTCACGTTATTCAACAAACGGGCACAACTATTTGGCCAAACCAGTGACATTTAACATGTTCATAAACCCTGCGAAACGTTTTGTTTAGCCCAAGCTTAGCTCAAGCCTTAGTTGACAGCCTGATTAAATGTAGGCCTACATGCATTGTATCTACATCAAATATGTGGGAAATCATAATACATTGCATTTGCTTGCATTAGTCAACGAAGACCACTTACTAAAAGGAGTTTGCTTTGATTTGCTTTAGGTTCTTAGTTTATTTACATAGCCACTAATAACCGTTACGAAGAATAATGAATGTGTCAAAATGCAAGTGAGTTACCCCTTTCAATATTCAAAACATACATTTAACACCTACATTTGTAGGCCTAAACCTATTCAAAAGAAATGTCTGGAAACTAGACAGTTACTTTCAAAATAAAATGGTCTTTAATTTGTTCAAACACAGACAATCAACTCCTAAACTTGCGGAAGTCTCGTGTTGTAGTGGTATGAACGTTATGCGACAGTCAGCGAATGTGACGTGGAAGGTTGGACATCACGTTCCTCAGCACGAGGCACGGCTCTGGCACGAGACAACCATATCACTACGTCGAGGTTACTGCTCGTCAAACTTACGCAACTACTTTGTACACATTCTGACGACATGTTGCAAAAAATACCACGGATTGGTTATCAAATAAAATGCCCTACTGCGAACCGACTCACTGGGAGAACATTTGCACGTTTGAAAACATGAGAAACAACAATTAGTTGAATTCAAGACAAAATGACATTCAAATGTAAACTATTAGTGTTTGGTGTCGAATAAGCAGCGACATAATATTAGATTCACCGTGTTCATGTTATATTAGTCAAAACTAAAACTTTTAGGTTAAATGAAATGCTCCACGATCGCCTTACAAAGATACAGAATTTTGTGTAATAGGCAATTTTATGTGTTTAAAAAAGATAAGAAACGCAATTATGTATACAGGATGTCCCGTAAGTAAACAGCCAAACTCCGGGAAATGGTTCTATAGGTCAAAATAAAGAGAAAATAAAAAATAACATTTTTTTCCAAAATTGCTTCATTAACTAGAAATCCGCCATTTTGTATTCTTTGCATAAACCGATCTTTATAAAGCTTGGTATGTAGGTTAAGGTAGAAAAGACCAATGTTAGATTAAACTTAAATTACTCAAAAACGGCTAGTTTTATGAAAAAAATGTCAAGAACACTTTTATTTTGCATTTTTAATTCCCTATCCAAACGATGAAAAGTTTAAAAAGATCGAATAAGAAATAGTTGACATATTACGATTTTTAGTTGTAAAATGGGGTAGAATAAGGCTGAAGCTTGCCAGGTTTGCCCCATTTTACAACAAAAAATCGTAATATTTCTAGATTAATTATAGATTTTAAAAACTATATTTATATTCTTTTTAACATACTGTGTACCCCTTTACGCAAGATTTCTAAACCGACCTCTCTCCAAAATTTAGGTCAGCACTAAATTTAGGCATGTTTACGTCCCTACACAAGTTCAGAACGTGGACTATTGTGGTTCTAGCCTAGCCGACAAAGTGTTTTTACAGATATAGCTAATAAATCAGAAAAGAGGAAAGGGTGGTTCTGAGAAGGTCAAACCCTCGAAAACTTTCCGCTCACTTCCCTAAAAGAGGGGCTGCTGTTCGACGTCTTGAGTTTTGCTCCCCGTGTCTTTTGCTGCAGTACCAGTGTAGTGCCAGTTCCCGGAATTCCCCTGCCGTGACCGTTCCTATGTGTCTCCACCATTATTGTACTTGTAATTTATTATGAAATAAATTGATGATTCTAATTACAACTGATCATTGTGAAAATTTTACCATCTTGTTGGGATAATAAGACATACATTTAGAGTTCTCGTGTCGCATAGGCCTTATGTTGTGGTATTGTAAATTATTTGACTATTTCTTATATTGCCTAAGATTAGATAGTGACATAAACGCATTTTTCATCACTCTGTATTCGAAAATAGCCCATTTTCATACAGCTGAGATCTACCAAAATCTTCAATTTCCATACACAAAAAACAAATAGTGATCAGCTGACTTTTCCTGACATAAACATTAGCCTACTTTGCCTGACATCAACAAAGTTACAATCAGCTGAATTTTACACTAAAATTAATTGTACGGCCGTATTGTTTTTAGATTATAATAATGAATATATTACGAAATATCAGATATTTTTTTAAGTTTGATGAAGTTTTCGTTGTGATAAAAAGTATAGTTCAACACTCGTCGCGAAATTCCATTTCGGGGCTCGATAGTGTTTCCCATGGGCTACTTTTGTGATTTTGATGGACTTGACACGCAAAAGGTTATCTATTGTATCCTATAATATTTCACTATAAGAATGTTGTAGGAGAGGGTGATAGCATAGATGAAGTAATATAAAGACAAAGGTATTTGTCCTTTTGCCTTGCATAACCAAGCAGAGCAAGAATCTTTTTAATGATTGGGACATTCAATACCAACGCCAATACCTAAAGTAGTCCACACACCTATTTGTCCTCTTGAACATTGTGATGTAATGCATACTAAACAAGATTTATCTGAGGAGAGAAATGCCTTAGTAATGTAAACATGAAGTGATATAATATAAAGTAATATGAAGTAATATGGTGTTTATTTATTCTATGGTGATAGTGAGAATCATGTGTTCTCTGGTCCATCGGCCGGTGCCTCGAGGGGTGATTGCCGACAGAGGGTTGGGAATGAGGAATCACCCGGCCAGGTAGATGTAGCAAATATCACACATTCACTGAAGACTGATGTTTACCACATAGGTAAACCACATAGGTGACGCGTTCCCGAGGACAGTAATCACAAGCGGTTGGATTATACTGTAGATGTATCTTGCAAAGAATGCACTGGCTGTGATGTTTGCGGTAAGTAAATTACTAATGCATTCGAGTCTGCATAACTTTCTACAAACTTGCCAACACTACTTTCAACAATAGTAAAATCTACAGATTCAAAAGTAACTACAAACTTTCACCAACAAAACACATTCCAAGGCGGAGATGGAGAAGAGGAGAAGAGAGGAAAATGCAGGGTACTCACAAGCGTTTTACTTAGGGCTTTCCTTAACCTCTTCAGGGTAGAACGCATTAGTAAGCGGGAATCACTTTAACTTTTTTCTACAACGTAAAGGTCCAATCTTCAAACTTATTTCACCAAACATGCTAACTTTCTTAATTAACACGCCCTGTAACAAAAGTTTCACATGTGTTCACAATTTGATCATACTCAATGTATCGAAATTGGAAAAAATAAACAAGTTTCAAACATCAATAATAATTTCCAAAAAACACATAGGTAACAACTTTACTGAAAAAAGTAGAAAGCTTAGGGTCGAACAAACATAAAATTTAGTATACAGCTGATAAAATTTAGGATTGAATAAACTTGGGTGGTTCAACACTTTTATGTAGGTAGAGGTGTACTGGTTCCATTTCGATGATATTGGCGAATTAATGTGAAGTGTTTTATTACTACTAGAGGTCGTCCAATGGTCGAAAACTCGACCAAAAAATATGTAACGTACAGCATTGTCCATTTCCACCTAACACTATATAAAACATATGATTGTAATTTCTTCAATTTGTTTTGATTTTCGGATTATATTTCGTTGTTATTTCGTCATCAGCATGGCAACCGATAAAGCCCATGTTATTTCTTTAATTTCAAATTCATTTTTGTGCTTGTTTTGAGGATATTTTAATTTATAAATGGGTTCTGCACATCTACAGGAATATATATTTCCAACAGTATGAGTAGATTTTCCCTACGATGCACACGAGCTGAGAAAAAAGGTTTTAAAGAAACATGCTTGCCTATTAATATATAGATAATTCTTATATTTTTCAACACTTGTGATTTTTGTATCCTTGTTTGGTACAACGTGAAGTTATTTTTGTAAAAATTCCAAACACGCACATACTGTAGCATCAAACCTACATATTAAGCGGATTTCCATTGCTTTCTTGACTCATTTCGAAGAAGGTCAACGAAGGCAGGGTGTTATCACATACCTAATGCAAATAGCATTACGCAAAAAAGTATTTAGGTCTGCTGCTCCAGTTGAATAAAGTGAGGGTCACTTTAAAGATAATCATACTAAGTAGGCCAACATACAAATGAGTTGTTGGCAAATTTTAAAAACATAATTATAGAATAATACTGATTTTGGAGAGTTACTTACAAATTTAGCGGGAGCTCTAAATTTACAAAAATTAATTCTTGAAATCATACTAAATTATAACAAAGCTATTGTACTTTGCTGCTGACAAAACTTTTGATTACAACTGTGAGTTTTTACCCAACATTTTGTCACGGTGAACGTACAGTTTATTTTTAGCACCGTATAACAAAGACATATAGCCAACTGCACACACACAAATTTAAATGGAATTAAATACTAATTTAACTCATGTGTTGAAAGACAAACAGCGCCTTTACGTAGCCGAGGTACAGCGTCTGCTACCTAACGGCGAATGTATGAACTACCATCACCAAGTGTGAAACGCAGAACACATTTCACAGCATTTCACACATAGGCCTACCCTACACACAAGAAGGTGCTGCCGGCTGCGTTGTTTAAAAAGTAGTGAGTGGCGGCAATCTGTGTGGGTTCTGTTTTTCTCACATTCTAAGGATTCAGTGAATGGAAAGAAAAGGAACAATGAAACGAGGGGGAGCTTATTGCTGTTCGGATATGGACTTCTGTCTCTTTTGGAATGTGCAAAAACAGCTCCAAACCAACCTTGGCGCTTGAAAATATAAAGACCAAACCAAGAAGAACAACAGGTGGTGGGCCGAAAATATTTACAGGTTGCCCATCACTGGAATAGGGATTCAACAAGTTCTTCCACAATTGATTTATCCCTGAACATACGTTTAACAGTACTTCAAACTATACAAAAATTCGCATCCTAAATATTTAACTATCGTTAAAAATGTTGTGTACGCTCTAAATCAGGGCAGGCATATCAATTGCCAAAGCCACCTCACCAAATTTTGGTACAACGGCAAGTCAATATTTTAAGAGTAGGCCTACTTTTTCTTAAGTAAGCCTAAAATATCTAACTTTATACATTCAAGCTTAAAATAAGTGCGCGAAGACTTTCGCCAGACAAGACATTATTGAAACTATTGTTTACACAAAGAATAGTTTACATTTAAACAGCAAACAGGGGACTGGTTGTATTTGTTGGCTTTACACTTGCAATGACGTAAAAACGCTTTGTAGGGGTTGAAACTTCCCTTCATAAGTGTGTTCTTCGATTACTCTGGCGAACAAAAACATTTTCAACATTCAGCAGAACAGCATCTTGGCTATGTAAGAGGATATATCATAATCAACTTTATTTTTCGATAAGCTAAACGTTTAAAACTGATAAAGGACTTTGATGATAACATACAGATTTTTGCACATAAGATCGGTCCCGTGGACACGGACATACAATTCGAAAATTAATTTTACGAGTTAGCATAAGAATACGTACCACCGTCGATAAATCAAATCCAATATTCCTCTGCGTACTAGAAGATAAAGCAGATAATACACTCAAACAAACACAGTCCACTCGCGAACACTTCACCAACTTGACGATTCTACGTTATTTTATCCCGATAAATTGTACTCGGACCAATCAGCAACGCAAGTCACGAATCACACAGCTGGACTAGAAGGTCCGCGAACGACCGCTAGGAACTGAGAGTTGGAGGTGACAAACCAGACCTGGACCACCTTATGTAACATACCAAGGCCGATCACATTTGGCGTTGGATATGGAGGATATTGGGTTCTAAATCAGCGAGGCACCTTCATCTGGCTAGGGGGTTATATCGTAGAGCTTGTTCAATTGACGTTGCAAGTCCTATATTCAAATTTTTAGACAGTGGCCATGGGTGCAATCGTATTGCTTCTAATGTGTTAACGATGGTGCTATTAAAATTCGTCTTATTGTATTTCAGGATTACACGACTAGTTCCTTGAAAATATAAAATGAGGTAAAGAATGTTTACGGTGATCAGCTGTTTTACAAACTGAATTAAACAACCCAGCTCTGAGAAACTGTGATACAATGAAATATACAGGGCTAGAGGAAAACAATGTGTTAGGCCTATATTGCTTTGTTGTCCATAGATTATGCAACAATCGGAATACCAAAGACTATCTAATGTTAATTTCTGTCTATGTAGCGTAAATTTACATTATTAATTGCTGCTTTAATTAGTAACATAATACCTTCTATATTATCATATCTCTGAAACTATATCAGCATGCTATTCTAGTACTGTACTATTTAGATGCTGTCTTCTTGTTGACTGACGATTTCCGGCAGAATCCACCGGCCGGAACTGGGCCACCACTAAATGAATCCTCCTCCCTCAAAACCAATAAATACAACCCTTATTTTATATTCATTGTCAAAACTCGCCAGACTTCTTCACTTCGGTTTATCGTTTAAACTATATTAACTATATGCTATACTTCAAAAGATATTCCAGAACTTGGGATGGGGCCTCTTATTGATTATTATCCTCATCATTTGAGAAGAGGGCGCCACCAATATGCCTATTTTAACCCAAATATGAGTGAAGGATGGATAAGTGTAGAATGGTGTGTGTGTGTGTGATGCCTTGTGACTTTGATACTGACTTTAGACCACTGTTTCATTAGTCAGGGCCATTTATTTAACATCCCAATGACCAAAGACAACTGGGGTCCATTTATGAACCTTTAAAAAGTTAAACACTTTTCTCAGGACCGAACCGGTGACCTTTTGATTCCCAAGCAAGTCCTTTAAAACCACTGAGCTACCCAAGACCCAAAACCAGCAAACACATTGAGTATGTCATAATGTGTATCGTTGGTGTTTGTTCATTGTGACACCGTAGGAAAAATGTAGCATAAAATCGTCCAATTATAAGGGTTTCTTACTTTACAATAGGTACGTAATAACTTGTTTGCCAAATAATGCAGTAACAGCGTGTCCATAAATGCACCCCCTCCCATTCCTGTGTGCGACTGTCTACAAAGGGAGGTCCGCGTGCCAACGGCCAAGCAGGAGAGAATGAACTGATAACTAGTGAAAACTTACTATCGATAGTACTATCGATAGTATCGATAGTACTATCGATAGTATCGATAGTTTGAAAATATCGATAGTGGGTCGATAGTATTATACTATCGATGAGACTATCGATAGTTTTTTTACGTTAAATTAAGTAAAGAAATCATTATCTGGTACTCTTACATTTCATTGTTTGTCTGTTAATGCATACCTATAGTTAATATTATAGACTATTTTTTTTTAATTCATTGTAGAAAAGCTCGGTAGACAAGTAGGCTACCTTCTCAAACATTTAAAAGCGGGGGCATTTGCTAATTCTCTACCGAACTTATGTGTACATTTGCCTCGTGGGTTTTAGCATACATAGAGACACCGGTATACGGTATTTTCCTTTGATCTATGGTTTTAGATTGTCATAAAATATATCGATGGTTAGAAGCACACATGTAGTATGTCCATTTTTTTTGTAAAATGAGATACCGCTACCACTGAATTGGTGGAGTCTTCATCTTTACAACTGCACACTCGTTATATGTCCAATATAACCCAAAAATTTTAAATAAATAACAAAAGAAAATACAGAGTCTTGAGTATTGACTCATTATAAAGTGCACACCTGTGTTATGTCCTTAAGTTTTACAGAGTAATAGTAGCTTTATTACTGGGTATCTTGGTTTGTGTGCACACACATCTTATGTCCGGACGTAAAACTCTTGTGCAGAAGAATATGTTGTTGTGTTGCTCACAGGGTATTACACAACTGGACATGGAACTGTTGTGCAGTAAGATTTTATTCCTCTGTGGTCAAGCAGCTGATTGTAAGTACATACCAGATTTATTTTTATGCACACATGCCACATGTCCGGGACATAAAACTGTTGTGCAGAATACGCTTGTACTTTAATTCCAACAGTTCGTTAAACATCTGGACATGGAACTGTTGTGCAGTAAGATTTTATTCTTCTATGTTGGCTTTATCAGTTTTTAAAGAAAGGATTGTTTAAAAATGGATCCTAAAAGTCGAGGATTGAAAATGTTGGAGATTTTAAAGCAGAAAACAGATGGAAATGCTCATCACAAACTATTTACAAAGGTGGAAAATATTTCAGCTTTGCTATGCTCCCCT